CGTAGGATCCGACCACCGCCGGCCGTCTCTTTTTCCAGCCGCGTCCCCCCAAATGGTCCGAGCCATGGTGGGGGGTTATCCCGCCAACCCTGTTCAGTGAGCGGCGCCTCCCGTATTGGGAGGCAGTTCCGCCTTGAGCACGTGTGGCCTTGGGGCCCGGACAGTGACTCTGTCCGAAGTGGTTCGGTTTCTCTCGTTCTGTCTCTCTCTCTCTCTCTCTCTCTCCCCCACCTTCCCTCCCTCCCTCCTTCCCCCCTTCCCGCCGTCCCGCCCTCTCCCTCTCTCTCCCTCTCTCCCTCTCTCTCTCTCTCTCTCTCTACTCCCCCTCTCAAGCCCTCTCTCTCCATCTCCCGGCAGGGCCCACGCATACCTTCCTTCTCCATGCCGACCCCCTCTCCTCCCATCTCCTGTACCGTCCCGTCCCTAAGGGGGACGAGCGAGAGAGAGAGAGGGAACAAAGACAAATAAGAAGGATCCATACGCCCTGGCGAGCGATAGCGCTGTTCGCCCGTGCACGAAAACGCTGTCCATCTTCAGATGCTCTGAAATCCCCCTTGGCCCTGTATGCCGCGGGGGGCGAGAAACACATAGAAACGCGAAGAGCAGCGGTGCAACGGTGCAACAGAAGCGGGGCATGTCTGTGCGCCAGATCCCCTGCTGGGCGGTCGGGAGCGCTTCGGAGTGTGCTCAGATGCGCGCCGTCCGTAACTGAAATTGTTCCCTTCGATCGAACCGTCGACGGTCGGCAAGTAGTTCAGGAGTAACTTCGGTATCACACTCGCGTGAAAGATTTGGCCTCGTGGGCCGACTCTTGGCAAACTATGTTTGGTCTGAATTTGAATTCACAGCGTCAGGAGCGTCCCGCACCCGTTGTACAACTTTTGCTCCTGACTCTACGACAACGGTGTGGAGACGGCACTCAATGAAGTAGACGTCAGGCAGGCGGCATTGCAATATCTTGACATGTGCAAGACCAGGCGTCGGAAACGCACAGTACACGGGCAAGAGGCCCAACGGCCGATCCCGGATCAGAAAACGTGCCCAACACGCCCAACAAAACGGGGACACGCGCCTGCACATCGAAAGCAGCAATAACCGGCCCACGCGATTTGGCCACAGTAAGCATCGAAAGCAGCAAGAACCGTCTCCATATCGAAAGCAGCAATAACCCGCCCAGGGCATAGTCTGCACATCGAAAGCAAGCAATAACCGATAATCTGGGCCTCTGGGTGGTGTCGTGCAGTCGTGCAGGTCGCGTGTCCCGCTCGCGGCAACACTCGGCCTTGCCGCGCCCCGCGTGCACCCGGCCGTGGTGGCGGCCAGCGGTGCGCGCTCGCCCTCCTCGCCGGGCGCCGCGGGAGCCCCGGACGGCGCGGCGGCTCCTCGTGCGATCGCGGGAGGGCAGCGAGCTACCGGAGCAGAAGAGTGGCTGCAGTGAGCCTGGGAGCGGGCTCTCCACAGGGGCAGCGGCCGTCGGCGGGCCCCCTCAGACGCTCAGCCCGTCCCTGAAGAGGAGGAGGAGGAGGAGGAGGAGGAGGAGGAGGGGAGGAGGAGGAGGAGGAGGAGGAGGAGGAGGAGGAGGAGGGGGGGAGAGGAAAGGGAGGAGGAGGAGGAGGAGGAGGAGGAGGAGGAGGAGGAGGAGGAGGAGGAGAAAGAGGAGGAAGAGGAGGAAGAGGAGGGGGGAGGAGGAGGAGGAGGAGGGAGGAGGAGGAGGAGGACGAGGAGGTGACAGCGGCTCTGCCTCCCCTCCCCCTCCCGCTCCCCCTTGGCCCTCCCCACCCCCCCTCCGCCCCCTGCCCCATCACCCTCCCCGCCCCCCTGCCCCGCCCGCGATCCGCTCCCAAGCCACCCCGTGCCCCCGATCAGCGCGTCACCCTGGCCCTCCCCGGCCTCCCGACCGACCTTGCGGCGCGATCGCCACCTCAAGAGATTATAGTCCTGGCTGGCCTTGACAGGGCTCCCGAGTACTCCCGGCTGGGCTCAACAGGCCCCCCGAGTACCCTGCGGCGCGCAGCGCCCCAGGGGCGCTGCTGTTGAGACCGCCTCGGGCTACCCGGAGGGCCTGCTGAGGCCAGCTGGGACTACCTCGAGGGGCTGTCTGTGCGCAGGCCGAGGCCCCACCGAGCGCAGGTGCTGTGCGCCTCCCCCCCGGTGCCCCGGGAGCTCCTTCAGAGGGCCTGCCATGGTGGCCTCCCATTCCGGGTCGTTGGCCTTGTTGGCGGCTCCGGCCAGCAGCTCGATCTCGTCCAGGGCCGCCTGCGCCGGGTCTCGGGGCGGAGGCGTGGGCGGAGGAGGGCGTCACGAATGATAAAAGTAATGCTACTACAAGCAATAATAATGGTAATAAGAAGAAGATGAAGAAGAATAATAAGAATAATGATAATGAGTAGAAGACGACTGCACATCGAGGGAGCGGGAGGTCTTCGCCCTCTCCAACGTTACCCCTGGCCGCAACGGCAAAGGAGGCTTTCCGTGATTCGGCGCGTGGTCCACCGTGCGGGCGGCACGCAGTCCTGCGATGCCGTGGCCGTCGAGGGGGGAGTAGAGGGCAGGCAGCCCAGAAGCGGACATATGCGATGAGAGAAAACGGCAAACGGGGACGCCGATGACTGGACGAACCAGGGAGATGGATCCAAGGGTGCACGGGGATAACAGCGTGCGTCGTTTATTTCCAATTATGTTATGTTCTCTGCCTGCTCGTTTCAAACCAGTCCTGGCCCCGGGATGGCCATCAGAGGTCCGGGACCAGAACACCTTGACATGATGAGAGAATCCAAGTTGCGGCACACCCATGAGAAACATGACTGCGTGATGCGTGCTTCTGTGATGTGCTGGAGGCCATCAGTCGGCGCTCGAAGTTGACGGTGAGACAGGCGGGTGGCGAGGTCATCTCGGGGCATTCTCGGGCCAGCCTTGGTGCCTTGGGCGGGAGCAGGGGCTCGAGGGGCACAACTCTGCTCGCCACACTGGTGCGCGCGCGCGCCCGCGCGACTGCAACTCACATGAGGCTCGTTCGATGACGAGCCGTAGGCGCAAGGACCCCAGGGGGCGAAGCACTTTTTTCAGGGCGCGAGGCGCCGAGCAGAGGACAGAGCATGCAGTCGTGGGGCTCGAGCCGCAGCCAGGGCCCCAGAGCGGCCTTGAGGAGATCTCACTGAGCAGGCCGCCGCTGCTCGATGCTCCTCACGCGTACACGCCGGTCGGAAGAGGCAGGTAAAGGCACGAAATTAGGAAGGCGGACGAAGTAGATTGGGTCCGGGCCCTCCCAGAGAACGACAAGACGCAGCAGAAGTGCGTCGGCTCTCGAAGTCGGAAGGCGCTGGGAGTAGATTTCTGTCGGGCGTGTCCCCCTACAGGGGGATTTTCGACGAAAACTAAAAGATACCCCAAAGATACCCCAAGAAGATCAACAAATACCCCAAAAAGAATCCCCAGACTATTTTTGGACTCCCTTTTGACTATTTTGAGGGTACTTTTCATTTTCGTCGAAAATCCCCCGGTAGGGGGACAGGCCCGACTTAAGAGTAGTCAACGACCGGCGTGTACCCGATCTGGGCGCCGCGGCCGGCGGCCTTTCAGGCTCCAGCCGCGCGCCTCGCATCTCGCCCGGCGGCGGCAAGGGGGGTCCGCTGTCGCTGCCCCCCCTCCTCGCGAGCCCTGAGCCCGGCGCCGCAGCAGGCCTTCAGCAACTGGGATGACCGTGGGGGGTTCTAAGAGGATAGGGGGGTTACGCGTGGATGCTAAGGTGGTTCATATCTGGCCCAACCTGGCTTAAAAGTGGGTTACAAGCGCCCCGAATGGCTTAGTGGGGTTAGATAACTCCGCTCAGTGGGCGGAGCCCACTTAGCCCAGATCGTTAGCCCCCCTAAGCTACTTAGGGCACCTGTGACCCACTTATAAGCCAGGCTGGGCCATATATAACCCACCTTAGCATCCACGGAGGAGGAGGCGGGGGAGGAGGAGGAGGAGGAGGAGGAGGAGGAGGAGGAGGAGGAGGAGGAGGAGGAGGAGGAGGAGGAGGAGGAGGAGGAGGGGGAGGAGGAGGAGGAAGGAGGAGGAGGAGGAGGCGGAGGAGGAGGAGGAGGAGGAGGAGGCGTAACCGCCCTATCCACTTAGAACCCCCCACGGCACCAGTAGTATGCGCCGTGCGGAACGCTCCGCCCGCGTGTCGGGCACCCATGGAGCGACTGCAGCGGGACGGGCGAAGAGCGCCGGCTCCTCAGCGGGTTGCATCGCCTCAAGCCTACGATAGGGGGAAAATAAACCTACCTCGCTTTTGACCACCCTCGCTTCCAAGAGATACCAAACCATGCCAAATTGCAGCCTGTACTGGTCAGGCCGCTTGACGAGGAGGCGCGTGGTATGGCTTGGTTTTGCCTGGACGCGAAAGCGGGGTAGGTAATTCACGCTCTGATACGAGGTGGACTCGGCAGCCACGAGTCACATCCAGAGCGGATGGGTAAAAAATCGGGGCCAGGCGCGAGCGTCATCGCCGTGTCGATGCGCAGATTGCCAGTTGTCGCATGGGTATCCGCGTGTGTTTGGGCCCGCTGCAGGCGCTGCTCGACTGAGAGCGGCACCTCAGGGCGTCCAGGACTCCTCCGCGGAGGCTGTCATCCTGTCGCTCGAGAAGCAGGCTGAAAAAACGTCGTAGATCCAGTCCCTGATCGACGACACCCAATGCATCCACTGCTCGCCTTGCTTGCACCGTGCGGGTTGCAATTCCGTGGGTCGCAGGCGGCGAGCACGTGTCGCCGACCACAAACAGCGCCTGTTGCCACTGCTCGCCCTCCGCGAACCGCGCACACAGTGCACGAGGTGCTGCAGGCAAAAGATATCTAGATAGGCACCTCGTCTTGGAAGCGCACCTCTGCCTGGCCTGCCTGCGGAGGCCAGAGCACACCGCGGCAGAGACGGTTGGCACTTGATCGCCTCTCTCGTAAACGCTGGCCCCAGCGCTGTAGCTGACGCTGCTGGGCTTCAAGCTCACAGCACACAGCTCACTGAGCAGCGACACGCTCCGCTGCCATCGGGCTCGGAGGACCAGCTGAACCAACGGCGGCTCTCCCGCCAGAATGTGCTCGTTGGGGTATGGCGCCGGTGAAGTCTGGCGCCCCGTCTTGCACGCGCTGCTGGATGGCGTCGGGCTCCGACGTCGCCTGCCGCACCTGGCGGATCAGCGCCGAACCCCGCTGCCACTGCTCGCCCTTCTTGCTCCCGCCGATCCTGGCGCTGCCGCCGATGACCTTGGGTTGCGGGCTTCGCCTCCCGTCCCGAATAGCGACGCAGTCGTCTTCGTTGCATCTGCACTCGGCCCCCAAGCGCGTTGGAAAGTTCCAGTGAGAGATCGTGAAGACATGCGAATGCATATCATGCTGCGCTCGAGGCAAATACTGGGCCTCTCAAGAGTGCAACCTTGCTGGGTTCAATGAGGGGCCAGTGACAACCGAGGCCAAGACCACTGGCTTTCTCACCCGCACTGATGACACCGCTGTAGCTGAGAATGTCTGCCTCCAATTTCACCTCCCGCATCTCGCTGAGCAGCGACAGGGCCTTCTGCCACTGAATGCCCTTCTCGCACGCGCTGATTCCAGCACTGTAGCTGGTGACGTCGGGCTGCAACTTCGCCTCCCGCATCTCTATGAGCAGTAACATAGCCCGCTGCCACTGCTCGCCCTTCTCGCACGCGCTGATCCCGGCGTTGTAGCTGATTGAGTGCGGCATCCATCACGGATGGCTAGCATGTAGGAAGGCACTGTAGCCGCTGCCTGGTGATTGCTGCTGCTTGCTGCGAGGTCTCGCTGCGGCGTCTCGCTGCCGCCTGCTGCTGCCGTCTGCCGCCTGCCAACCGGTGCGTCTCCTCTTGCTGCTGGCTCCTTTGCGGCTGCCTCTGCTGATCCGGGGCACCCGAAGACTCTCTGGGGCCTCCTCGGCCGTCTTCGGGCCCTCAGGCCTCCCGGGCTGGCTGCGACGCTGACCCGCGGAGGGTCGCCCCCGCAAACGTGCTCGCACGCAGAGGAGGCTGCTGCCGCGGGCGCGGCGCAACGCTCGGGCCGGGCGAAAAGGGGGGGATAGCAAAAGGGGGGTCAGCTCACGTAGCTGATTTCCCCGGCGCCGGGAGCGCGCCGGGAGGCGCCCAGGTGTCGAGGAATGGGCCCGGCGGTGAGGCCGAAACCAGCTGCATGCAGCCGATTTCGTAACCCCCCTTTCCCTATCCCCTCCCTTTCGTTCGGCCCGAAACGCAGCATTCCGAAGTGGCAGGGTGGTCCACGACGCGGGACGACACGGCGGGCGCAGGCGCAGCACGGTGCAGTGAAACGTCTGGGAGGCCAGACCTGATCGCGGCACGGCACGACGGGCGCAGCGCGACACCGCGCCGCAGCGCCTCTGAAAAGACGCGCCTGGTGGCGGCACGCGGAACTGAAGGGGCCCCAGGACACACAAAGAAATACACACAAATAAAAAGTTCCCCCATATTTTCGGGGTTTCTGTCTTCCCCCCCACTTCCCATACTTTCCACATTTTCTGGGGAATCGAGGATTAATTGTGTCTGTGTGTTTTTCTCTCTCCTGAGAAACATAGCGCGTCGCAACGCGGCGTGTCAAAGCACGCGCGCGCGTTGGGAGAAGTGCTGGGCGGGCGCGAGCGTGGATGTCTGTCTGGCGGTCACCTGTGAGCCCCATGGAGCCACTCCCTCGTGGAGTCCAAAGGGCTGGCTGGCAGGCCCACTGAGACCCACCTCGCCTGTCCGTGGGTGGTCTCGAGGCCCTGTGTGCCGCGTGGGGGGGCATGGTGGGACTGTCTGTGGCACTTTTGGGCCGTGTTGAGGGCGTACTGGGCATCGCTGTGACCGTGTTGGGGTGCCTTCCTTGGCAGCCTCCCGGAACCGTGTTGGCAACGCTGCGGTCCTCCACGAGCTCTCTCCGCCCATCCTGGAGCGCCACGGAACTTCGGGGAGCTCCGAGGTGGGAGCTCTCCTCGCCCGTCGTCGCCCCTCTCGGAGCTCCCGGAAGCTTGGCGAGCTCCACGAGCTCTCTTCGCCCCCATCTTGGGGCTCCCATCTTGAAGGGGCCCCAGGACACACAAACAAAGACACACAAATAAAACAGTTCCCCATATTTTCTTATGTTTTCTGGGTGTTTGTCTCCCCCCCCCCCCCCACTTCCCCTATGTTCCTACCTCTTCCTGGGGGTCGACGATTCATTGTGCCTGCGTGTTTTTTTCCCCTCCTGACACCTGTGGCTCCCATCTGTGGCTCCCATCTGTGGCTCCCACCTGGGAGCGCCCCTTGGGCCCGCCAGGAGCTTGCGGGGGGCCAACCTGGGTGCCGTCCTCGGGCCACCGGGGCGCAGCAGCACGGGAGGCGCGCGCGAAGCTGTGTGGGCGGCCTCGGCGAGGGCCCCCCGGAGGCCGCCGGGGCCGCCGCCGGGGCCGCACACCCCTCGTTAGGGGGCCACATGTGAACCCTACCCCTACCCCCCACGATTTTGAGGGGAGGGTGGGGTTCACTTCGCTCGGGAGCTCCCGAGCGAAGTGAACCCCGCCCTCCCCCTCCGAAATCGTGGGGGGTAGGGGTAGGGTTCACATGTGGCCCCCTATTCGTGGGCCTTGGAAACAACAGGGCCGTTTTTTACCGGTTCCGTTTTGCCGTTTTTGTTGCCGGTTCCGACGCCGTAGTTGTTTTACCCGTTCCGTCGCCGTTTTGTCACCGGTTCCGGCTCCGGTTCCCATCCTGGAGCCGTTTTTGTTGCCGTTTCCAGTCGCCTTTCTTTTGCCGTTTCCATTTTCAAGGGACATTTTTGGGGAAACGGTGAGAAAAGGGCCCTGTCGTTTCCGGGGCCCACAAAGCGCACACCCAAAGCCAGACCGCGACGCCCCATCAGGCCCCACAGCGCGCGCAAGGTGCCAAGGACTCCCGGCGAGAGGCCCTCGGAGGGGCTACACACAGCGATCGCTCCTCAGGTGTGGGCTTCGCCACGCTGCCTGCGATCCAGCCGTTCCGGCGAATCACAAAACGGACATGTCGACCCCTATCCCCGACTTCGCGGGGCTTTCGAATGGACGAAAAATGTGGGCCCAACCCAGGGATATACGAAGGGGCGCGCGCATCCTCGATGGGGATGGGGCAGCGTCCGAATGGCCCCCTGGGGGTGCATCCCCGAGTTCCCCTCCTATTTTCTTAACAGCTTCGTTTTTTTTGCTGTCTACAGAGCCAGGGGGGGAGAAATCGCCTGCGAGCGAGGCTTACTTTTTTAGACAAGCGCGTTCCACTACTCGCAAAGGAACTACTCGCAAATGGCATGGGTCCGCCGCGGGGGACTTACGATACAAGGTTTACATCGAGACAACAAAATGGTTTTCGGACGATTGCGAGTAGGCACTGCGCGAGTCGTGGAACACGCCCGGTGATTTTTGGGCAGGGCTGCCTTGAGGTGAGCGTTCTCTTATTCGGCGTTTCGACATTGGGCGGAAGGGGGAGGGGGGGCTGGCTCTGGACCTCTGCTTCATGCATGCGACTGTTTGCCACAGTGCGTCCTCTGGGGGAGACCCCACCTGCCCGAAACAGGCGCCCAAAACGACCAAGATCTACTCCAGGGGGGGGAGGGGGGGGGGCGAAGGCCCGCCCATGGTTTCGGACGCTTGCGAGTAGGCACTTGGCGAGTCGTGGAACGCGCTCGGTGATGTTTGGGAAGGGCTGCAGCAAGGTCAGGTTGGGCATGCCCTCCTACAGGCGGATTTTGAAGAACAGCAAACCAAAAAAAGAGTCAAAGCAGAGATCCACAAAGAGTCAAGAATTCTAGCACATCGTCGTCTGACTATTTGTGTCCCATTTTTGACTCTATCCCTCCTGTATAGAGCTGTAGAGGGACATGCCCGACTCAACCCGAAGGCGAAGCGCGCGGTGGCCCGGCGGCCTCTGCGCGGGCCCTGCCCCCGAGCGGCCCCCGCTGCTGCTGACCGGCGGGGGCCCCGCCTCTGCCAGCGGCGAAGGGGGGAGCCTCCGCCGCGGGGGGCGGGGCCAGCTCCTCTCGCTCGAGGGGGCGGGCGGCCGGGCACGGCGGCGAGGCGGCGCAAAAACGGCATACACTCGACCAGGATGGTAAGGCTGCGCGGTGAGGATGCAAGGGCCTCGGAACGCATTGTTGTCGATTTCCGTGCGGAGCGCAGCAGACTGCCGAAGGATGCCGAATACCGAAGGGGCAAGGATGCAAGGGTAGCCTTGGGAAATTGCCCCATCCTTACTATCATGATTGACTATACCGTAGGGGCCCGACCACAAGGAACCTTCCAGAAGAGACCCAACCCGGAGACCCCAGGGCGTCCGTGGATTTGGGGTGCGGGGGCGTCGCTGCTTCCGCCGCAAAACCACCGGAACCCACGAAACCCAAGGGCACCCTGGAAGCAAGCGGGGTGCTTCTTGGCACGCGCTTCCACTGCAGAAGAAGACAGAACTGGCATAAACACGAACTGTTGGCGCTCCGCGCGGATTTCCTGGATCTGCGCTGGACTGGCGCGCGGAGCGCGCCAGGGGCGGCACCCGCAGCGCCGCCAGGGGGGCCCCAGCGCGGATCCAAGAAATCCGCGCGGAGCGCCAAAAAATTATGTTTATGGAGTTTGTTCTTCTTCGAAAGGGGGGGAAAACAAAATCCTCAGCGTTGGCATCTCGCACGAACGCGGGCCCGGGCAGCGAGAGATCAGGGTGTGACGCCCGGCTCCAGCCTCGCCCCCCGCACCTCGCCGAGCAGCGACAGGGCCCGCTGCCACTGCCTGCCCTTCTCGCACGCGCTGATCCCGGCGTTGTAGCTGAGGACGGCTCTGGTTAGGGCGAAAACGTGAACGGCATGGACTGCGTGCGGCCTGACCAGATAGAAACTTCCCTGGTGGGCGCGAGCGCTGGCTCTCCGCCTGCAGTGGTGAGCATCGCTTGCTGGACGGGCTGCTTGCCCATGATCCTGCTTGCGACCTTGCTTTGTGGATGCCACGACAATTGACACCCTATCGGTCCCATCCTTGAATGTAATGTGTTTGAAATGTCGGAAACTGTTCAAACATGTTTCAAACATGTTGCTTTACATGTTCACAACATGTTTAACACATGTTGTAGACATCTGGGAATGATTTGGCAACGTGCTTCCTCTCCATTGATCCTCCTCTACAAAACCTTGCTGGCCTGGTGGCCCGAGGACTTGCTGCCGCACGCCTCGTCGGCTTGGGAATAAGCCCGGAGCTGCGGGTGCCAGCCGCTGCTCGGCGGCGGTCGCTGCTGCGCGCTGGCGGGCCTAAGCCGGGCGTGTCCCTCTACAGGAGGAAGATCCAAAAATAGTAAAAGGAATTGGGGACGAGGCTTCTACAATTTCTGATTATTTGGGGGTATGTTTTTGAATATTTTCTAGTTTTGGTCAGAAATCCACGAAATTGGGGACGAGGCTTCTACAATTCTTGATTATTTTGGGGTATGTTTCTGACTATTCTATATTTTTGGTCAAAGATCCGCCTGTACAGGGGACATGCCCGACCTAATGGTGGGCATCCCGGCAGCCCTGGGGGGAATCAGGAGCGGAGATCTCGCGGGACTGACCTTTGGGCCGTCTGAGGGCCCTCCTGGAGCCCTCTTGAAGCCTCTCGGGGCGACGCGGACCCCTTCTTGGGGTCTCGTCGGGCCTTTCTGGGGTCACTGGCTGCTGCTATCTGGACGCCGCCGTGCAGGCCTGCAGGCGCACGTG